ATAACTGACCTTAATCATCGTAATGCAAAGGGAGGATAGAGAAATTATAAACTCGTGATCGTGACAACATACCTATATCCTGCATCCGCAAAACCAAAAGGGTGGGACTGGGGGCTCAGTTCACCAAAGGTTGCCCCCCTTTGTACTGCGTCATCATATAACTATCGTATAAATGAGGCAATTTTCTAAAAGGATTCACAACAATTCATATATTTCTTGTGTAAGTCTGGAAACAATATCGAGTTGGTTAGCTTCAACACATTTTATTTAAATAGGAAAATGTTGAAACAGATGCTTCCAAAATCAAATGAAGTGTGGGAAACACTTACATATATTTCATTGACATCATATCTCCAATTTCAATTATGTAGAACTTCTGTCTTATGCAAATAAGCCAGCTTTATCCTATCATCCACTCCACTTGGTGGTGCTTCACCATCTTTTGGATAAATACAAAAAGTGTTAACAACCACCTCTAACAGAAATTTAACAAAAGAAAAAGAGGACCAAATTCAGTGAATCTTCCATCTCTGCATATTTGTTTCTTAACCAACAAAAATACCTAGAATAATTTGATGGTAATGATTTGACAAAATGTTGTTGGACGAATTTTCACTTGTCAAAATTTCCTACATAGCATAAAATAACAGAAAAAATGAATTAAAAGTTGATATTCAGCATTTCAATAATAACAACCATTTGACGCAGATTCACCAGTTTATCTTGATACTCTCAAATCCATATATGTCCAGCACCCCAATTAAATATTTTGCGTTTGGGTCTTGACCAATTGAACTATGGATCTTATCCACAAGCCTACAACATGGATATATCAGTACAAAGGCATCAGCAAAAACTACATCTTCCAAAAAATTTGGGGCTACAAAACTTAAAATAGGAACAAAATTACTCCAATGACGAGTAGTCAGTAATACACAACTCGTCAAAGCATGAAAATGAAGGTTACCAGTCAAACAAACATGAGTCCACAATTTGCCAAAACATCTCTACTAAGAACTGAAGCTTCTGGATCAAGCCATTTGGTAATGGTTTCATCATGAGTTACAATTACACGTTTGTGGAGGGAATCCTTCAAAGCCATTATGTCACACCAGAACAATACCAAACAATTCAAAGGTTGCATTTGGTTGAAGTTGCATTTTGTTCTCCTGTAGTGAAAATTAAGTCAAGATATTTGAAAATTCATTTACTTCATTTTAGTGTGTGCCTGTGCATTATTTACATGAACAGCTCTGCAGCAATTCTAAGATGAAACCAAAATTTTTTATTTTGGGCACAGACGAGTCGATTGTCTTTTCCTTCGCAAATTTGATATTTCCAAGGTGGAGAATCGCAGCCACAACTCGAAAAATCACATCATGAGGAAGGAAGAAAATCAAAGAGAAGAAATTAAATGATAGATTTTAAAGTGAAAGAATCATGTTTCCCTTATTAACCAACTCCAAACAAAAACCTGTTCCTCAATACTAATTCCAAAAATATCCATTGCCCTCCTTGTAGCAACGTACTCTTTAGGATCATCAGTGCCATCTAACTCGTAGCAATTTAATTGATTCAAATAATGGATTTCCCAATTTGTACTTTTGAATATCCTAACAGCATGGAAAAATAATATAAGATTTGTCTGAAATTGAAAAGATATCCCAACACAATGATCAAAATTGAACTTCAATTCCCACTTCCATACATGTAAGCCGCCTACCACACCTTTGGAACCCAACCAACAAATTGAACTTGATTGATGTAGTAATTACATTACTACAAAGAACGTAATTTTAGAGGAATCTATGGTGTTTTCTTAAGAAATTGAACATAAAATAACCACTGCTAAACTAACAAATAAACAAAAATGTATAAAAAATCTACGAAATACACTAAATTTACAATAAACTCCTCTAAAATTAAACTGTCTCATCTTAATTATAACCTAGATCCATATTCCACAAAATATTAGCAATTATTAGTCAACTAATTTCACCAAACATATGGCCCCTCTCAGTCCCGAAGCATGAAGGAAGAAGGCCTCCCCTCAATTGTCGGGTCATGATCACACCCATACCCTTCTATAAAAAAAAAGGGAGAATCCACATGATGTCAAATAAGCTGCAAAAGTTATGAATTCTCTACTTTCCAAAAACTACATCTCTCTTGCGAAATTTTTTTGAAATGCTTTGTACAACTATATAATTTTTTTAATAACTTAAGAAAAATCACATGTCAGTAAATTCAATGCAATACTCACGGCTATCCAAAATTTCGATATATTGAAACGAACTATGCCTTTTTTCCTACTTTTCTCACCCTAGAATCTAGGCTATAGATAAATGCACATATCGGAACAAATTCGTATATGTGGAGTAAAGCAGTTCAAGAGATACCTGTGCAATTTGATCAGTACCTCGACGTTTCAAGAGCCAGCAATGTTTCTTTGAGTGACGATAGGAAGACTCAAAAAAAAACTCATAACTCATCCTCAACTCCAATGGCTTTTCTCCAATAAATGGCTATAGGTGGTAGAAAACCACCAATGGTAGCACCACCCAACTCCAGAATTACCACATCCTACACACTGATAAACAAATTAAATGAAATACTCAAAAGATATACCCACATCATAAACCATTTTAGTTATGTGCCACCACCATATCATAGATTGTAAAAAAGCGTAAGAGATTAACTGGTCCTGGTCCAAAATGTTGGGAAGAAACAAAAAGCCACTACGAAACAATCCACAATAAAAGTATGCTATGTTACATATTGAAGGTCAAATCCAATATAATAGATGTAGTAGCACTAATGTTAGCAGTATAAAATCAAAATGTAACATTTTATAAAAGCAGTCGTGGTAGCACTATGGATTTAGTTACACATTAAAGGTAGGTATTACATCAAACCCAACAGTCCATCAACTACATTAATGATTGAGTTCACAAATGTCAAAACAATCGATAAAGAGAATACAATTTAGAGATTGACTTCGAAGTAGCACAAGTTAAAGGTACACGGGAAGGAAAAAGGACCACAAACCTGCACAGAAACAGTTAGCATTGTAGCGATAGGGAAACGTATGTTAGAAAAGGATATCCATATTGAAGAAGAAAAGATGTCCATGGTGCATAGATGAAGTCAACAATAAAAACAAAATAACAAAATCAATTTAAAGCACACATGAAGAACTTAGTTTCGATGACCATAACTAAAGTCAATAATATCGGATTTCGCAAACACGACTTGGACCCGAGTTAATTTTAAATCCGAAAATAACTAAATCGGATAAACCAATCTTAAGATCAGCTAACACAAATATTCACTTGGTGCATTTTATCAAGCAAAAGAGATTAAAAAGCATAAACAATGAGCCCACTGTCTATCAGCAAAGGACTGAAGGAACTTTTTGAAACAAAAAAAAATCGGTTTGATAATTTATCGAACAGGTGGTACACAAGGGCTGGGAGGAACAAGAAAGGGTTGTCAAGTGGGGTTACGATTGTGGAAAGAGAGAGAGAGAGAAAGGAGATGATTGAGGGAGATGAGCTGGTGACAAAGAGAAAAGAGATGAGTGAGAGAGAGGGGGGAGATGATTGAGAAGGATACCTAAAATAGGCCGTGGCTGGACAGCTGGCTGTCGTTGGCAATGAATGTGCAATGGCACAGAGAGAGAAGGGATAAAGGGCGGTTGTCGCTGGCGGTGAACTGAGAGAAGAGATAAGTCACTGCTGGGGATTGGGCAATAGCACAATAGGGAAGAATGTAGAGAGAAAATAGAGTTAGGGGGAGATGATCATAAGCGCATAGAGAAAGATAGATGATCAGAGAGGAGATAAGTGAGAAAAAGAGAATATGATTGAGAAGGATATCTGAAATAGACAATGGTTGGGTAGTTGCTGGCTGTCATTGGCAGTGGATCAATGTTATCAGAACCGGACCGGTCATTGAACTAACTAGGAGACTGGGTCAATGGTTCACTTGTTCAACCGATGGGTCAACTAGTCGGACCGGTCATATAATAAAAAAATAAAAATATATATACAATAATTATAAAACATCATTTTTTGGAATTAAGCCATTTAGGAATTAGTAATTGCCACACTTTTCCACATACATTCAAACTCAAGACTCAAGAGAAAGACTAAACCGACAACAAAGAAACAACCCCACCACCCAAACCCCTCACCCCCGAAACAAAACTAGAAGAAACCAACAAAAGACTATTGAGAAGAAGATTAAAGATCGGGAAGATTGAGGTTTTTTTCTTCAAAATCTGAAATAAAGAAAGGGCATTTATCAAGAAGGGGTAGGGATGAATGAACCCTGCAGTTCTTGACAAGATAATCCAAAGGTTAACCGAGTTCCGATCTTCCAAGCCAGGGAAGATAATGCAACTTTCGAAGTCATAAATCAAGCAGCTATGTGTTGCCTCTCACGACATCTTCATGAAATAGTAAAATCTTCTTGAACTTGAAGCACCCATCAAGATTTGCGGTATTCGTAATTAAGTCATTTAATTTTTCATTTTTCATCAAATCGTACGGATTTTATAAAATTGCCTGTTCATGGTTTTTTGAAAAACTAGCCGGTTTTTCAATTTTTAGCTAGTACAATTAAGGGACCGGACCGATTAAGGCTACTGGTCACGGTTGAACAGGTCAGACTGGCCAGTCCAGTCCAGTTCTGGAACCGGACCGATTAAGACTCCTGGTCACGGTTGAACAGGTCAGACCGGCCGGTCCAGTCCGGTTCTGATAACACAGTAGTGGATATGCAGTGGCACAGAGAGTGAAGAATAAGAGGCAGTTGTCGCTAGCGATGAACTGAAAGAAGAGATTTGTCATTACTAGGGATTAGACAGCGGGGCAATAGAGAATAAGGTAGAGAGAAAATAGTGGTAGGGGGAGATGAACATGAGTGCATAGAGAGAAAGAGATGGACGAAGAGGAGATGCATAAGACAGAGAAAGAGGAGATTATTAAGAAGGATACCTGAAACAGGTGGTGGTTGGGGTAGCTGCTTACTGTCGTTGGTAGTGGATGTGCAGCGGCATAGAGAGAGAAGAGATAAGCGGCAGTTGTCACTGGTGGTGAACAGAGAGAAGAGATGCGTCACTTCTGCAAATTAGGCTGCGACATAATAGGGAAGAAGGTAGAGAAAAAATAGAGTTCGGGGAGATGATCATAAGCGCATAGAGAGAGAGGGGGGACAGAGAGGAGGTGCGTGAGAGAGAAAAGACGATTGAGAAGGATACCCAAAATAGGTGGTGGTTGGGTAGCTGTTCGCTATCATTAGCATTGGATGTGCAGCAGCACAAAGAGAGAGAAGAGATAAAGGGCAATTGTCATTGGTGGTGAATCGATAGAAAAGTTGCATTACTTTTGGGGATTGGGCAGTGGCACAATAGGGAAGAAGGTAGAGAGAAAATAGAGTTCTGGGAGATGATCATAAGCGCATTGAGAGAGATGGACGGAGAGGAGATGCATGAGAGAAAGAAGAGATGATTGAGAACGATACCTGAAATAGGTAGTGGCTAGACAGCTACAGACTGTCGTTGGTAGTGGAATGCAGCGGTGCAGAGAGAGAAGAATAAGAGGCAAGACGAGATAAGTCACAACAGGGGATTGGGCAGCGACGCAATAGAGAAGAAGGTAGAGAGAAAATAGAAGTAAGGGGAGATGAACATGAGCGCATAGAGAGGAAGACGGACAAAGAGCAGATGCATGAGAAAGAGAGAAAGAGATGATTGAGAAGGATACCCAAAATAGGTCGTGGCTAGGTAGCTATTGGTTGTTGTTGGCAGTGGATGTGCAGCGAGACAGAGAGAGAGGGGATAAGGGGTGGTGAACCTAGTGAAAAGATACACCACTTCTTGTTGTTGAAGGCTTAACTGCGGGGGATTGGACAGTAGCGCAATAGTGAAGAAAGTAGAGAGAAAATAGAGATAGAGGGAGATGATCATGGGCGCATAGATAAAATGAACGTGAGAGAGGGGGAGAGAATAGCACACAACCATAGGTCTTAGTTTGGAAAGCATATTTAGGAGAGAGGAGGAGATGATTTGAGAGAGACATGCGAGACAGAAATTGAATGTAAGAGAGCTCGACTAAGAAAGGAGATAAAAGGAGAGACACTGAACAAATTTTGGTGAAGCCTTGGGCAGTGATTGAAGACCTGATGATGGGTAACAAAATGGAAAATTTAGGTAGGAAAAAATATTTCTAGAATCATTCTGGTTCATTGAATTAGTAATTTTGAGATTATCTGAACTATTTTTTATGTTGGGGTAACGTAGTCCGTTGAATGACAATTTATTTTATCTTGAAACGATCTGAGCCGTTTTTGTCTTTTGATTCAAAAACGGCTCTACTTTATTATATAGATTAGTAGTAACGGAAAGCATTTGCTGCTCAACATTGGGTTTGGCTACATATATTTTTTGGGCACCACTTTGCCATGTATCATGTGATATCCAAGGATGACAATTCTATGTTAAGATAAAAAAACAACTCCGTAAAAAATGAAATGCTCTACAAGCATGTATTTATTCTTTACTATAAAGCAAATCTTGGTCAATTAAATAGAGACTTATTACCTTAGGTGGTGCGTAGCAAAGCACGTAGAAACAATGACAATACCTCTTAGGATCAGACACATGACAAACACAAGACCTTTTCGGCTGGTAAGTTCTAATAACAACTCCTGAATTCCTTCCTCTACGGTCAAATTCAATCTCCATAAGCTTACCGAAATGACTGCAATGTACATAAAATGAAGAGATAGAAGGAAACTATTCAACCAGATAATATTAGAGAAACTTTGCGACATATACAGAAATTAAACCATAAATGCAAAATGTTCCCACCTGGAGTTGTTGTTTCTGACTGCAGTTACATTGTTTCTGACTGTATTTGCATTACCGAATGTTCCTAGAACCGGATTTGACTGCAAAACAAATGGAAACAAGTCCAAAACACATATTGTACACATTTAAAGAACTAAATTATGTGGTGAAAGATCTAAAATCTGGCTTCAGAATGAATCAGTCCCTCGTCTAAGCATGTTGGATTGGTTGAAATGCAAGGCTGACCTCCAGGACTTGCTGCTTGACAGTCCTCCTCTCAGATGCAGCTATGCCTCCCAAATAAGCAAAATGTTGGGAGAAACTTTGCGACATATACAGAAGTTACACCGTAAATGAAAAATGTTCCCACCTGGAGTTGTTGTTTCTGACTGTATTTGCATAACCGAATGCTTCTAGAATCGGATTTGACTGCAAAACAAAGGAAAACAAGGCAAAAACACATATCGTACACAATTAAAGAACTAAATTATGTAGTGGAAGACCTAAAATCTGGCCTCATAATGAATCAGTCCCTCGTCTAAGCTTGGTGAAATGCAAGGCTGACCTCTAGGACTTGCTGCTTGACAGTCCTCCCGTCAGATGCAGCTCTGCCTCCCATGAAAGCAAAATACCGCATGAGCAATTTTGTGCTTTCCGTTTCACTTGCTCCACTCTCGCCACTGACCAAAATTGACTAACTAATTCCCTAATTGATCATAACTCTGCATCCACATAACTGGCCTTAATCATCATAACGCAAAGGGAAGAGTGATTGTGACAACATACCTATATGCTGCATCCGCAAAAGCAATAGGGTGGGACTGGGGGCTCAATTCACCAAAGACTGCCCCTTTGTACTGCGTCATCATATGACTATCGTATAAACGAGGCAATTTTCTGAAAAGATTCACAACAATAAATATATTTCTTGTGCAAGTCTGGAAACAATATCGAGTTGATTAGCTTCAACACGTTTTATTTAAATAGGAAAATGTTGAAACAGATGCTTCCAAAATCAAATGAAGTGTGGGACATACTTACATATATTTCATTGACATCATACCTCAAATTTAAATTATGCAGAACTCCCGGCTAATGCAAATAAGCCAGCTCTGTCCTACCATCCACTCCACTTGGTGGTGCTTCACCATCTTCTGGATAAATACAAAAAGTGTTAACAACCACCTCTAACAGAAATTTAACACAAGAAAGAAAAGACCAAATTCAATGAATCTTCCATCTCTGCATATTTGTTTCTTAACCAATAAAAATACCTAGAATAATTTGATAAAAAGTTGTTGGATGAATTTCCACTTGTCAAAATTTCCTTCAAAGCATAAAATAATAGAAAAAATGAATTAAAAGTTGATATTCAACATTTTAATAGTAGCAACCATTTGAAGCAAATTCACCTGTTTATCTTGAAACTCTCAAATCCATATATATCCAACACACCAATTAAGTATTTTGAGTCTGAGTCTTGACCAAATGAACTATGGATTTTATCCACAAGCCTACAGCATGGATATATCTGTACAAAGGCATAAGCAAAAACTACATTTAGATATTCCAAAAAATTTGGGGTACAAAACTTAAAATAGGAACGAAATTACTCCAATGACAAGTAGTCAGTAATACACAACTCGTCAAAACATGAAAATGAAGGTTACCAGATAAACAAACATTAGTACACAATTTGCCAAGGCATCTCTGCTGACAACTGGAACGTCTGGATCAAGCCATTTGGTAATGGTTTCATCATGAGTTACAATTACATGTTTGTAGAGGGAATCCTCTACAATATCATAGATTATAGAAAAAGCGTAAGATATTATCTGGTCATGGTCCAAAATGTTGGGAAGAAATGAAAAGTCACTGCGAAACAATCCACAATAAAAGCATACTATGTTACATTTTGAAGGTCGGATCCAATATAATAGATGCAGTAGCACTATGTTAACACCATAAAATCAGAATGCAACATTATATAAAAACAGTAGCACTATGCTAACATTATATAAAAACAGTCGTAGTAGCACTATGGATTTAGTTACACATTAAAGGTAGGTATTATATCAAGCCCAACAGTCAGTCAAATACATTAATGATTGATTTCACAAATATCAAAACAATCAATAAAGAGAATATAATATAGTGATTGAGTTCACAGTAGCACTGAAAAAAGTACACGAGAAGGACAAAGGACCACAAAGCTACACAAAAACAATTAGCATTGTTGCGATGGAGGCTAGAATCACATATAAATGTATGTTAGAAAAGGATATCCATGTTGAAGAAGCAAATATATCCATGGTGCATAGATGAAGTCAACAATAAAAACAAAATAATAAAATCAATTTAAAGCAGACACGAAGAACTTAGTTTCGATGACCATAAATGAAGTCAACAATACCAGATTACGCAAACACAACTTGGACCCAAGTCAATACTAAATCAAAAAAACCAATCTTAAGATCAACTAACACAAATATCCATTTGGTGCATTTTATCAAGAAGAAAAGATTAAAAAGCATAAAAAATGAGCCCATTGTCCATAAGCAAAGGGCTGAAGGAACTTTTTGAAACAAAAAAAAAATATCGATTTGACAATTTATCAAATAAGTGGTACACGGGAGCTGGGAAGACAAGAAAGGGTTGTTGAGTGGGGTTATGATTATGGAGAAAAAGTGAGAGAAGGAGATGATTAAGGGAGAAGAGATGCGTGGCAAAGAGAAAGGAAATACGTGAGAGAGAGAGGAGATGATTGAGAAGGATTCCTGAAATAGGTGGTGGTTGGTCAGCTATTGGCTGTCGTTGGCAATGAATGTGCAACGGCACAAAGAGAGAAGGGATAAGGGGCGGTTATCGCTGGCGGTGAACTGAGAGAATATATGCATCACTACTAGGCATTCAGCAGTGGCACAATAGGGAAGAAGGTAGAGAGAAAATAGAGTTAGGGGTAGATGATCATAACCGCATAGAGAGAGGGAGAGATAGGCTGAGAGGAGATGTGTGTGAGAGAGAGGAGATGATTGAGAAGGAATAAGGATACCTGAAATAGGCGGTGGCTGGTAGCTGCAAGTTGTCGTTGGCTATGCAACAGCACAGAGAGAGAAGAATAAGAGGCAGTTGTTGCTAGCGGTGAACCGAGAGAAGAAATTCATCACTACTAGGGATTGGGCAGCGGCGCAATAATGTAGAAAGAAAATAGAGCTATAGGGAGATGAACATAAGCGCATAGATAGAGAGAGATGAATGGAGAGGAGATGCATGAAAGAGAGAAAGAAGAGATGATTAAGAAGGACACCCAAAATAGGTAGTGGCCAGATAACTGCTCGCTGTCATTGGCAGTGGATGTGCAGCCGCACAAAGAGAAAAAGGAGATAAGGGGCAATTGTCACTGGCAGTAAATGGAGAGAAGAGATGCATCACTACTTGTTGTTGAAGGTTTAACTACTGGGGATTGAGTAGTGGCGCAATAGTGAAGAAGGTAGAGAGAAAATAGCGATAGGGGGAGATGATCATGGGTGTATAGAGAAAGTGAACGTGAGAAAGGGAGAGAGAATTTTAAGGCACAACCATAGGTCTTAGTTTGGAAAGCATATTTAGGGGAGAAAGGGAGATGATTGGAGAGAGACATGCAAGTTAGAAATTGAGTGTAAGAGAGCTCGGTTAACAAAGGAGATAAAGGAAAGACACATAGCAGATTTTGGTGGAGCCTTGGGGAGTGATTGAAGGCTTGACTAAGGGTAAAAAAATGAAAAGTTTTAGGCGGGAAAAAATATTTCTAGACTCATTCTGGCTCATAAGATTAGTAATTTTCAGATGATCTGAACCACTTTTTATGTTGAGGTAGCGTAGCTTGTCGAATGACCCTTTATTTTATCCTCAAATAATCTGAGCCACTTTTTGTCTTTTGATTCAAAAACAACTCTACTTTATTATATAGTTTAGTAGTAACAGAAAGCATTGCTGTTCAACACTAGGATTGGCTACATATATTTTTTCGGCCTCCACTTTGTCATGTATAATGTGATATCCAAGACAACTCCATAAAAAATGAAATGCTCTACAAGCATGTATTTATTCTTTACTATAAAACAAATCTTGGTCAACTAAATAAAGACTTGTTACCTCGGGTGGCGCGGAGGAAAACATGTAGAAACAATGATAGTACCTCTTAGGATCGAACACTTGACAAACACGAGACCTTTCCGACTGGTAAGTTCTGATAACAGCTCCTTAACTCCTTCCTCTCCAGTCAAATTCAATCTCCACAAGCTTATCGAAATGACTGCAACGTATATAACATGAAGAGATAGAAGGAAACTATTCAACCAAATAATATTAGAGAAACTTTGCGACATATACAGAAGATACACCATAAATGCAAAATGTTGCCACCTGGAGTTGTTGTTTCGGACTGTATTTGCATTACCGAATGCTTCTAGAACCGGATTTGACTGCAAAATAAAATGAAAACAAGGCCAAAACACATATTGTACACAATTAAAGAACTAAATTATGTGGTGAAAGATCTAAAATCTGGCCTCAGAATGAATCGGTCCCCTTGGACAGGCTGAAATGCATGGCTGACCTGCAGGACTTGCTGCTTGACAGTCCTCTCGTCAGATGCAGCTCTACCTCCTAAGTAAGAAAGATACCGCATGAGCAATTTTGTGCTTTCTGTTTCACCTGCTCCACTCTCACCACTAACCAAAATTGACTAATTGATTCCCTAATTGATCATAACTCTGCATCCACAGAAGTAGCCTTAATCATCATACTGCAAAAGGAAGACAACGAAATCATAAACTCGTGATTGTGACAACATACCAATATGCTGATAAATGAAGTCAACAATAAAAACAAAATAATAAAATCAATTCAAAGCATACAAGAACTTAGTTTCGATGACCATAAATGAAGTCAACAATACCAAATATCACAAACTCAACTTGGACCCAAGTCAATTTTAAATTCGAAAATAACTAACTCGGAGAAACCAATCTTAAGATCAGCTAACACAACTATCCACTTGGTGCATATTATCAAGTAAAAGAGATTAAAAAGCATAAAAAATAGCCCGTTGTTCATAAGCAAAGGGCTGAAGGAAATTTTTGAAACAAAAAAAAATATTGATTTGACAATTTATCGAACAGGTAGGACACGAGCTAGGAGAAACAGAAAGGGGGTTGTCGAGTGGGGTTATGATTGTGGAGAGAAAGTGAGAAAAGGAGATGATTGAGGGAGAAAAGATACGTGACAAAGAGAAAGAAGATGCGTGAGAGAGAGAGAAGACGATTGAGAAGGATTCTTGAAATAGGTGGTGGCTGGGCAACTACTGGCAATCATTAGCAATGAATGTGCAACAGCACAGAGAGAGAAGGGATAAGGGGCTGTTTTTGCTAGCGATGAACAAAGAGAAGATATACATCACTGCTAGGGATTAGGGAGCGGCACAATAGATAAGGTAGAGAGAAAATAGAGTTAGGGGAGATGATCATAAGCGCAAAGAGAAAGAGATGGATGGAGAGGAGATACGTGAGAGAGAGAGGAGATAGTTGAAAAGGATACCTGAAATAGGTAGTGGCTGGGCAGCTGCAGGCTGCCATTGGCAGTGGAAATGCAGTGGTACAGAGAGAGAAGAATAATAGGCGGTTGTCACTGGCGGTTAACAGAGAGAAGAGATGTGTCACTACTGGGGATTGGGCAGTGACGCAATAGAGAAAAAGGTAGAGAGAAAATAAAGATAGAAGGAGATGAACATGAGCGTATAGAGAGAGACAGACGAAGAGGAGATGCATGAGAAAGAGAAAAAGGAGATGCATGAGAAAGAGAGAAAAAGGAGATGATTGAGAAGGATACCTGAAATAGGCAGTGGTTGGGCGGCTACTGGCTGTCGTTGGCAGCGGATGTGCAACGGTATAGAGAAACAAAGGAGATAAGGGGTAGTTGTCACTGAAAGTGAACTGAGAGAAGAGATGTGTCACTGCTTCTTGTTAAAGGCTTAATCGCAGGGGATTGGACAGTGTCACAATAAGGAAGAAGGTAGAGAGAAAATAGAGATAGGAGGAGATGATCATGAGCACATAGAAAAAGTGAATGTGAGAAAGGGAGAGAGAATTTTAGGGCAGAATCATAGGCTTAGTTTGGAAAGCATATTTGGGGGAGAGAGGGAGATGATTTGAGAGAGGCATGCGAGATAGAAATTGAGTGTAAGAGAGTCGGTTAAGAAAAGAGATAAAGGGGAGACGGAGAGCAGAGTTTGGTGCGAGCCTTGGGGCGTGATTGAAGACTTGACCAAGGGTAATAAAATGGAAAGTTTTATGCGGGAAATAATATTTCTGGACTTATTCTGGCACATTGGATTAGTAATTTTGAGATGATCTAAACCACGTTTTATGTTGGCATAACATAGTCCATCGAATGACCCTTTATTTTATCTTCAAACGATCTGAGCCGATTTTTGTATTTTGATTCAAAAAAGCTCTACTTTATTATATAGATTAGTAGTAACAAAAAACATTTAATGCTCAACACTGGGGTTGGCTACATATATTTTTTTGGGCACCACTTTGCCATGTATCATGTGATGTCCAAGGATGAAAATTCAATGTTAAGATAAAAAACAACTCCATAAAAAATGAAATGCTCTACAAGCATGTATTTATTTTTTACTATAAAGCAAATTTAGGTCAACTAAATAGAGACTTGTTACCTCGGGTGGTGTGGAGCAAAGCATGTAGAAGCAATGATAGTACCTCTTAGGATCGGACACTTGACAAACACGAGACCTTTTCGGCTGGTAAGTTCTGATAGTAGCTCCTGAACTCCTCCCTCTCTGGTCAAATTCAATCCCCACAAGCTTACCAAAATGACTGCAACGAACATAACATGAAGAGATAGAAGAAAACAATTCAACCAAACAGTATTAGAGAAATTTTGCGACATATACAGAAGTTACACCATAAATGCAAATGTTCCCACCTGGAGTTGTTGTTTCTGACTTTATTTGCATTACCGAATGCTTCTAGAACCGGATTTGACTGCAAAACAAATGAAAACACGGCCAAAACACATATTGTATTCAATTAAAGAACTAAATTATGTGGTGAAAGATCTAAAATCTGGCCTGCAATGCTTACCTCCAGGACTTATGCAGCTCTACCTCCCACCTAAGCAAGATACTGCATGAGCAATTTTGTGCTTTCTGTTTTACGTGATCCACTCTCGCCACTAACCAAAATTGACCAAATGATTCCCTAATTTGAGTGAAGATGCCTGGTATCCATACATATGTTCCTCTTCAAGCTCAATTCATATCAGCTTAATGAAGATTCATCAACTTTTAGTTTTAGAAGCTCTCTTGGGATTATGTGAGGAGATTATAGAACTAGGCATGATCCCTAACAGTATCAATATGTGGTGCCTATCTGCCTCTACCTTTTCTTTTTGCTTCTTATCCCCCTTTTTCCTAATTTCCGCACTTCATCATCCTACAACTGAACCTTGGTAGTGACTCTTCAAAACGTTAGAAATCCTACCTTGACAAGCCTATCTCTGGAACAGAGCACTTATCAATCTTTAATTAGCCCTACCTTCAATATGCACTAATCCCTTTTTAACACCCAACATGCCAACATAGCCGCTCTCTACAAAGTACAGTACCAGAACCCCTATTAATTTCTTAAACCAAGTACCAACCACCTCAAAAAACCTAGCCAATATCAATCCTTCATTCCACATACTAAGCTCCTTGATCTACAAAATTTACTTAATCTAAGCTCAGTATACATCTAAGATTGGGAGACTCTAGCACCAGTTTTTGGAGTATTCTCCTATATCATTTCATGTAGCAGGGCTTGTATAAATGTGTTTCATCACACGTTCTACATCAGCTGTCCATGACTTAAGAACTTCATCCCAAGGTCAGTACTTTCCCTGTCAACATTCGGAAAAACCATATTGAAAAGAAAAGTTATAAGTAATTTCCTCAAAGAAAGGACTTATACTAGACCCCACAAAATTTTTAAGTCCAAATAAGGCTACAAACGTCTTTTTTAGGACCACCCCCATCATAGCATTCTAAGCCACAAATGAGACTGAACAAAGCTGAAAGTGGACAAAGAATCAAACTGTAGTTCACCTGCTAACCATAGAATTGCTATTTTTCATTAGGAAGAACAAAGAAAATGCTACGCTAAAAACCAATGAAAGCAGAGGACAGTGAATAATCACAATTTGACATTCTTACCAGGAATAACAGCATTAATAATTCCCCATGACCACCTGCAATACCAACTGATATAGAATGTGAATCTACAAAGACTACCAATTTTATCCCCTTGAATATTGAATATTACCCAGACTCCACATGCTACATACATAGGATTAATATATTAGATCAATATCAGTAGTAAGGGAAAGCATTTGCTGCTCAACATTGGGGTTGGCTACATATATTTTTTTGGGCATCACTTTCCCATGTATCAAGTGATAACTAGGAATGAAAATTCTATGTTAAGATAAAATACAACTATATAAAATATGTAATGCGCTACAAGCATATATTTAGTCTTTTTTATGAAGTCTTGGTGAAGCAAATAAAGACTTGTTACCTCGTGGTGCAGCGCAAAGCGTGTAGAAGCAGTGATAGTTCCATTCAGGATCGGACACTTGACAAATACTAGATTTTTTCAGCACGTAAGTTCTGATAGCAGCTCCTGAAGTCCTTCCTCTCTGGTCAAATTGAATCTCCACAAGCTTGCTGAAATGACTGCAACATACTCCACACGAACGGATAGAAGGAAACAATTCAACCAGAAAGTATTAGAGAAACTTTGCACAATGTACAGAAGTTACATTGTAAATACAAAATCTTCCCACCTGGAGTTGTTTCTGACTGTCTTCTCCTTACCGGATGCTTCGAATTCATGATTGCGACAACGTACCTATATGCTGCATCTGCAACAGCAAAAGGAAGGGGGTTCAGTTCACCAAAGGCTGCCCCTTTGTACTGCGTCATCATATGGCTATAATATAAATGAGGCAATTTTCTGAAAGGCTTCACAGCAAGTATTATATTTCCTGTGTAAGTCTGGAAGCACTATCAAGTTGATTAGCTTCAAAACATTTGAATTAAATAAGAAAATGTTGAAACAGATGCTTCCAACATCAAATGAAGTGTGGGAAATACTTGCATATATTTTATTGATATTAAATCTCAATTTTAAATTGTGCAGAAGTCCTGGCTCAATCAAATAAGCCAGCTTTGTCATTTCTTCCGCTACACATGATGGTACTTCATCATCTTTTGGATAAATCCAAGAAGTCTTAACGACAACCTGTAACTTAAATTTAACAAAAGAAAGAAAGGACAAAGTCAAAGAATCATCAATATCTGCATATTTGATTCTGAACCAACAAAAATACATATAATAATTTGAGGGAAATGATTTAACAAAAAGTTAGAAAAGCCATACAACTGCTATGCCTGCAATGAACCTGCTATGAAAACAATACACCTGCTCTAGTGACCTGTGGCTGTACCATTTGTAGAGAAGAAAGAAGTCACAACACAAAGGAAAGCTTAAAAGAACAACTACAACATAAGGTGTTGCTAAGAGACAATACAAAGGAATACAGCAGTTATTCCAGTAACACACCAGCTATGCTATGAAAGTGGATGTATATATTCCATCTGGGAACCCTAACCAAAACTAAAATGGGAGTGGTAAGATACCACCGAGAGAGAATCATACAAACATAAAATAACCACAAAAATGAATTACAAGTTGATATTCAGCATTTCAAGAATAACAACCAGTTGAAGCAGATATACCATATGAGCTTTAAATATCTATTTCAAGTAGTGATGTAGAATACTCACAAAAACCTTAATGTCTTCGCCATTAGCGTCCACAACTTCGCAATCTACCCATGCTACATCAGGATCCTTCACCCACACAAGAGATCCAACCCCTAAGCTGACCGAAACAACCTATAACACTTTTTCATATATTTCAGATAGTTAATATAAGAGGAAGCAGTTAATAAGCCCGGAACTGAGTCCATTGGCGCACTCCAAACAACAAGAAAACCAGAGCCAATTGAACAATTGAATAACAACTATTATCATCCACGTTCATGCCTAGACACACACATCGTTTTAATGACTACTATAAAACTTTCAGTGAGGTTATTATTCTATGGGAAACATTGCATAAGATCATCATTCTATAAGGTCTTGAGACTTGGAAATCTTCACACAAACTTCTGAACAGAGAGAGACTGGGATCATATCAAAACAGCAAAAGTATTTCATGAAAAGTAATTCAGCACCTTTACTTCTAAGGATTCAGTTTAATTAGAACGACAGATTCCAACAAGATGTCAATGGCAATTGGCAAGCCATCGAGCTATTACCCAGCTTGATCCCATTAAATTGAAGTTGGTGGAAATGGTGGGTTGCGTACAGGTCTAGTGTTTGCCATTAGTTGTGCAGAATGCTAGCCCTCTTATTCAAATTTCCAACTTGACGGTTATCGGTGTGTGATTTTACCATCACACCATGCACCGGCTCTTTGCAACAAAAACAATGGAAAACAAATCTTTCTGGGTTTCTGATACTACCATGGGGGCCCTAAAATACTGTGCAAAGGCTGAAGAATGTTGAGGAAGGAGCTGTAAATTTGTTGCTGAAACTTAGCTTTCCAAGCCGGCCTTTCTTTCTCTAAAATCCCCAAGAAACTAAAGCCAGACAAATAATTCAGTTTCTTGAGTGTCCCACTTCCATGCAATATTCATGAAAATATTCTATTGCTTAGGTGACATACCAAAAGGATGCCAAATCAAAATGCATTCAATGTGTTGAAGATCTAAACATTAACCATCTTGGAGAGAACAGCAAAGAGTAAACAATAAAAGCTACCCTACTGGCTAGGGCAACAAAAGACTAAGTGTCTTTGAAAGATGAGACAGTCATTAAAACTGCTAATATGCCATATACAAGAGAAAAGGGGACATCCTGAAACATATATGAGCAATGCCAAAAGAATATCAAACCCCCACAACCAGGGTTTTGACTTCGGCGATATACTTGTGATACAACAACATCCTGAACAACTCGCAGAAAAGCCATAAGCACACACACACACACGCACCTCAAAAAAGTATCACCTCCAAATCTACCAGTCCAAGACTTGATAAATTATACGCTACTTGGCCATGGTTGTTCAAAGCCAATATTTGAACTCAAGATTCGATAAAGATTCAAGAAACAGCAGCAAACAGAGACAGGCACTATGGAAACGAAAGTGGATTCCATTAATATCCACCAAGTAGAACAAATCCTGATGAAACTAAGATAGATCAGTAATAAATAACTAAAAGAAAAAGAATTCATCCAAATTTCCAATGGAAGATTAATGGAAACTATGCTATGACGAACCACCAACAAGAACAATATTCAATACCATTCTTGAAAATATTCAGATCAGAAGCTTCAGTGACGTCTCGATCAATTTCCGATTCCTCCAAAGAATGCAAAATCAATCCAACACAGATCAAACGACCACCGAGTCTTCCAGTAGCAAAATTCCAATCCAAAACCACAATTCCTTTTTACTTTTCTTCGCCGATACAACCACAATGAACTTTGATATGTTTGATTCAATGAAGGCAAAAAAAGAAAACAAGAACAACAAAGATTAGGCAACAGAGTGAGTTTAAATCTTTCAGCAGACCGATTTTTCAATGAAGATTGGAAAAAAGGGTCTGATTTTGGTGGGAAAAGAGATTGAACCCTCTGCTTTATAAAGCAAAGCCAAAGCCTCTCTTTGTGTTTGTGTCAATTTATTAGTAGATTAATTGCTTGCTACTGAACTATAATATAACGGTCATTTGTTGAGCTAATTCCGAGATTACCCTTATTTATCCTTATTTCCTAATTCCGAGATTACTCTTTATGTCATATTTACTAAAATCATATTTAGTTCCATTCAGGATCAGACACTTGGCAAATACGAGATTTTTTCAGCACGTAAGTTCTGATAGCAGCTCTTGAAATCCTTCCTCTCTGGTCAAATTGAATCTCCATAAGCTTACTGAAATGACTGCAAAATACTCCACATGAAGGGGTAGAAGGAAACAATTCAACCAGAAATTATTAGAGAAACTTTGCACAATATACAGAAGTTACATTGTAACTGCAAAATTTCCCCCCCTGGAGTTGTTGTTTCTGACTGTCTTCGCCTTACCGGATGCTTCTAGAACAGGATTTGACTGCAAAACAAATGAAACACAGCCAAAATACATATTATACCCAATTAAGGAACTAAATTATGTGGTGAAAGAGTTCAAACCTGGCCTCAGCATGACACAGTCTCGCGTCTAAGTTGTTGGACGGACTGAAATGCAAGGCTTACCTCCGGGACTTGCTGCTCGACAATGTAAGCAAGATACCACATAAGCAATTTTGTGCTTTCTGTTGTAACTGCTCCACTCTCACCACTAACCAAAATTGACTAACTGATTCCCTAATTGATCATAACTTTGCATCCACATAATTGGCCTTAATCATTGAAAAGAAAAGTGAAGGCAACCGAATTATGAACTCATGATCGTGACAATGTACCTATATGCTGCATCTGCAACAGAAAAAGGAAGGGGGCTCAGTTCACCGAAGGCTGCCCCTTTGTACTGCGTCATCATATGACTATCATATAAATGAGGCAATTTTCTGAAAGGCTTCACAGTAAGTATTATATTTCCTGTGTAAGTCTGGAAGCACTATCAAATTGATTAGCTTCAAAACATTTGAATTAAATAAGAAAATGTTGAAACAGAAGCTTCCAACATCAAATGAAGTGTGGGAAATACTGGCACATATTTTATTGATATCACATCTCGATTTTAAATTGTGCAGAAGTCCTGGCTCATTCAAATAAGCCAGCTTTGTCATTTCATCCGCTACACATGGTGGTAATTCATCATCTTTTGGACAAATCCAAGAAGTTTTAACGAGAACCTGTAACTTAAATTTAACAAAAGAAAGAAATGACCAAAGTCGAAGAATCATCAACATCTGCATATTTGTTTCTGAACCAACAAAAATACCTATAATAATTTTAGGGAAATGATTTAACAAAAAGTTGTTGGACAAATTTCCACCTGTCAAAATTTCGTACAAACATAAAATAACCACTAAAATGAATTACAAGTTGATATTCAGCATTTCAAGAATAACAACCAGTTGAAGCAGATATACCATATACGCTTTAAATATCAATTTCAAGTAGTGATGTAGAATACTCACAACACAAGATCCTTAATGTCTTCACCATTAGCCTCCACAACTTCGCAATCTACCCAAGCTACATCAGGATCCCTCACCCAAGCAAGAGATCGAAAGCCCAAGCTGTGACCGAAACAACCTATAACACCTTTTCATATATTTCAGACAGTTAATATAAGAGGAAGCAGTTAATAAGCCCAGAACTGAGTCCATTGGCGCACTCCAAAAAACAAGAAAACCAGAGCCAATTGAACAATTGAATAATAACTATTATCATTCACGTTCATACCTAGACACACACAGCGTTTTAATGACTATAAAACTTTCAGTCAGGTTATTATTCTATGGGAAACATTCCATAAGATCATCATTCTATAAGGTCTTGAAACTTGGAAATCTTCACACAAACTTCTGAACAGAGAGAGCCTGGGATCATATCAAAACAGCAAAAGTATTTCATGAAAAGTAATTCAGCACCTTTACTTCAAAGGGTTTGGTTTAATCAGAACGACAGATTCCAACAAGATGTCAATGGCAAGCCATCAAACTATTACCCAGCTTGATCCCATTAAATTGAAGTTGGTGGAAATGGTGGGTTGTGTACACGTCTAACCTTTGCTATTAGTTGTGCAGAATGCTCGCCCTCTTATTCAAATTTCCAACTTGACAGTTGTCGGTGTCTGATTTTACCATCACACCATGCACTGACTATTTGCAACAAAAACAATGGAAAACAAATCTTTCTGGGTTTCCGCTACTACCATGGAGGTCCTAAAATACTGTGCAAAGGCTGAAGAATGTTGAGGAAGGAGCTGTAAATTTGCTGCTGAAACTTAGCTTTCCAAGCCGGCCTTTCTATCTCTAAAATCCCCAAGAAACTAAAGCCAGACAAATAATTCGGTTTCTTGAGTGTCCCACTTCCATGCAATATTCATGAAAATATTCTATTCCTTAGGTACCAAAAGGATGCCAAATCAAAATGCATTCAATGAGTTGAAGATCTAAACATTAACCATCTTGGAGAGCTTCTAAGAACAGCAAAGAGTGAACAATAAAAGTTACCATACTGGCTAGTGCAACAAAAGACTAAGTGTCTTTGAAAAATGAGACGGTCATTAAACTGCTAATATGCCATATACAAGAGATAAGGGGACATCCTGAAACATATATGAGCAATGCCAAAAGAATATCAAACCCCCACAACCAGGGTTTTGATTTCGGCGACATACTTGTGATGAAACAACACCCTGAACAACTCGCAGAAAAGCCATAAGCACACACACACATACGCACCTCAAAAAAGTATCACCTCCAAATCTACCAGTCCAAGACTTGATAAATTATAAGCTACTTGGCCATGGTTGTTCAAAGCCAATATTTGAACTCAAGATTTGATAAAGATTCAAGAAACAGCAGCAAACAGAGACAGGCACTATGGAAACGAAAGTGGATTCCTGCTATGAAAACGATACACCTGCTCTACTGACCTGTGGCTCTACCATTTGTAGAGAAGAAAGAAGTCACAACACAAAGGAAAGCTTAAAAGAACAACTACAACAAAAGGTGCTGCTAAGAGACAATACAAAAGAATACAGCAGTTATTCCAGTAACACACCAGCTACGCTATGAAAGTGGATGTATATATTCCATCTGGGAACCCTAACCAAACCTGAAATGGGAGTGGTAAGATACCACCGAGAGAGAATCATACAAACATAAAATAACCACAAAAATTAATTACAAGTTGATATTCAGCATTTCGAGAATAACAACCAGTTGAAGCAGATATACCATATACGCTTTAAATATCAATTTCAAGTAGTGATGTAGAATACTCACAAGAACCTTAATGTCTTCACCATTAGTGTCCACAACTTCGCAATCTACCCATGCTACATCAGGATCCTTCACCACGCAAGAGATCCAACCGCTAAGCTGACCAAAACAACCTATAACACTTTTTCATATATTTCAGACAGTTAATATAAGAGGAAGCAGTTACTAAGCCCGGAACTGAGTCCATTGGCGCACTCCAAAAAACAAGAAAACCAGAACCAATTGAATAAAAACTGTGACTATAAAACTTTCAGTGAGGTTATTATTCTATGGGAAACATTCTATAAGGTCTTGAGCCTTGGAAATCTTCACACAAACTTCTGAACAGAGAGAGACTGGGATCATATCAAAACAGTAAAATTATTTCATGAAAAGTAATTCAGCACCTTTACTTCTAAGGATTCAGTTTAATCAGAACAACAGATTCCAACAAGATGTCAATGGCAAGCCATCAAGCTATTACACTGCTTGATCCCATTAAATTGAAGTTGGTGGAAATGGTGGGTTGTGTACAGGACTAGCCTTTGCCATTAGTTGTGCAGAATGCTCGCCCTCTTATTCAAATTTCCAACTTGACAGTTGTCGTTTGCAACAAAAACAATAGAAAACAAATCTTTCTGGGTTTCTGCTACTACCATGGGGATCCTAAATTACTGTGCAAAGGCTAAGAATGTTGAGGAAGGAGCTGTAAATTTGTTGCTGAAACTTAGCTTTCCAAGTCGGCCTTTCTATCTCTAAAATCCCCAAGAAACTGAAGCCAGACAAATAATTCAGTTTCTTGAGTGTCCCACTTCCATGCAATATTCATGAAAATATTCTATTCCTTAGGTGACATACCAAAAGGATGCCAAATCAAAATGCATTCAATGTGTTGAAGATCTAAACATTAACCATCTTGGAGAGCTTCTAAGAACAGCAAAGAGTGAACAATAAAAGTTACCATACTGGCTAGTGCAACAAAAGACTAAGTATCTTTGAAAGATGAGACAGTCATTAAAACTGCTAATATGCCATATACAAGAGATAAGGGGACATCCTGAAACATATATGAGCAATGCCAAAAGAATATCAAACCCCCACAACAGGGTTTTGACTTCGGCGACATACTTGTGATGAAACAACTCGAAGAAAAGCCATAAGCACGCACACACACGCACCTCAAAAAAGTATCACCTCCAAATCCACCAGTCCAAGACTTGATAAATTATACGCTACTTGGCCATGGTTGTTCAAAGCCAATATTTGAACTCAAGATTCGATAAAGATTCAAGAAACAGCAGCAAACAGAGACAGGCACTATGGAAACGAAAGTGGATTCCATTAATATCCACCAAGTAGAACAAATCCTGATGAAACTAAGATAGATCAGTAATAAATAACTAAAAGAAAAAGAATTCATCCAAATTTCCAATGGAAGATTAATGGAAACTATGCTATGACGAACCACCAACAAGAACAATATTCAATACCATTCTTGAAAATATTCAGATCAGAAGCTTCAGTGACGTCTCGATCAATTTCCGATTCCTCCAAAGAATGCAAAATCAATCCAACACAGATCAAACGACCACCGAGTCTTCCAGTAGCAAAATTCCAATCCAAAACCACAATTCCTTTTTACTTCTCTTCGCCGATACAACCACAATGAACTTTGATATGTTTGATTCAATGAAGGCAAAAAAAGAAAACAAGAACAACAAAGATTAGGCAACAGAGTGAGTTTAAATCTTTCAGCAGACCGATTTTTCGATGAAGATTGGAAAAAAGGGTCTGATTTTGGTGGGAAAAGAGATTGAACCCTCTGCTTTATAAAGCAAAGCCGAAGCCTCTCTTTGTGCTTGTGTCAATTTATTAGTAGATTAATTGCTTGCTGATGAAGTATAATATAACGGTCATTTGTTGAACTTAATCCCGAGATTACCCTTATTTATCCTTATTTCCTAATTCCGAGATTACCCTTATTTATCCTTATTTCCTAATTCCAATATTACCCTTATTTCCTAAAATCATATTTAATACTTATAATTTTATGCCAATTTACTAAAAAAATTATGTTTCATCAAAAATTACATTTTTTTAATATTAAATCATGGTATCAAGTTTTGTATGTGTGTGCTTAATTAGGTGAAATATATGTTAGAGTTTTTTAAGTTTTGTATTTGAGCAATGTTATGAGGACCTAATTCACTGTAATCTTTGGATTGATTGTAGACTCTATTAAACATTAGAATTTGGTGTTGATTCAATAATTTTATTAAGTCACATTATTATGTAAGTAAATTAGATCAAATTTTTAGATCCAAATAGCATTACTCGTTGTATTTTGGACATGAGGGGAGACAGAGAGATAGATATTGATGGTTTGGGTTCAACCTAAACTACTCACATTTATTTTCGGGAAATTGAAGGTCAGTCCTATTTCCCCATCTGTTTCGACAATAAGGACAAGAAAAATTATGCTATGTGCAGGACAACTGCTGGAGTCTTTTGGGTAAATAGGACCTTAGCTTGAGCGCCTTTTATTTTAATTGACTTTTTTACCATCCGGCTCATTAGTGTTTACTTAGGAGTTGATACTGATATTGTTCCATTAGTGTCTGTTTGAATTTCAAATTATGTTGAATCAAAAAATATTTCATATATTGAACCTTATTAACTTAACGTATCTTTGTTAATGAAGTTTTTTGTCTTGTTTGTAGCTCCATGTGCTTAGTTATTCGTTAAAATTCATAGCTTGTACAGAGGAGCTCTATTTTTTTTCAATAGTTTGTTATTGTTATTCATCAAAGATTTTCTTCAAAATTGATTTGAATTTCATATATTGCTACGATGAATGCATGTGTTTTTGCTTAATATTCTTCCAAATTGTTTTGAATCAATGTTTGGATATTTGTATATTGTTTGAAAAAAGATACTATGTTTTCATTGTGATCACCCAATCATTTTTGTTATTGTGTTTGTTTGCCATAATTGTGGTTTCTTTTTTCGAATTTAGCATATGTTTTTTTATTTCATCTAAATATATATGGTTAGAAATTTGTTTGGTTCAGTTTTTTGTTTGTTTCAATTTTTAGTTCCATTGTTAAATTATGTGTTGCAACTTAGAATGAGTTTTTGTTGTTTATGATCTGTCACTGTGACTTATTCATCAAAATCTGGTGTTGTAATTGACTTCATGTTGTTAATACTTACGTAAATAGGTTTTGTTGTGGTGTTAGTTATGTTACTGTGTTTTTATTTGTTGTTCTATGAACTGTGATTGTAATATTTTTTTAACACAAAATATATTAAATTCAACATAAATAAGTCTCTACAGTGTATAAATCCCAATAACATTATTAATTATGTATTACAAACATTAAATATAGTGATAATTACAATATGTTGTTGGGTATTTGTTATTTTTTGTAATTGTCACTATGAATATTAGTAAATTAATAGGTATATATGGGGCATTAGATACATTATTTTTATTATATTTATGGCATATGACTTTACATTGTTCATGTGTTTTGTGATAATGTAACTATGGTTAATCTATATGTTTTTCATTATTATTTATTTCAGAGTATTCAATGGATGATCTAATGCTGCTTGTGTGCAAAAATTGTGAAGAAACTAATGTGATAAGGATATTAGTTAATTCAAATTACTTAAATATATTGGTTGGTATCATCAATAGGTGGAAAGATTTGGATGTAAAATGTTTTGAGTTTATCATATAATATACCTGGACACTCTAGTTGTATGTTGCACTACGAAGTTGATTTGAAAAATATGTTTATCTTTTATCGTGAACTTTATTTGAATTATATCGAAATTGTTGTGTCACAAAAGTTGGTTGATTCTAATTTTGTTGATGGGAGTGAAGTGCTTCAAGATATGCCTTTTCATTTGGCGGATATCAATGGATATGACACAGAGCATAATTTACTATCTTCATTCTATCCTCATAATGGAAGGGCATTGTTGTGGGCTAGTTGGTCTAATGAAAATAGGGGAACAGGCCAGAAACTTCAAAGTGGTGTACAACATTTCAGCAATGCCCTTTGTAAATATTCAATTGAGTGTGGGTTTCAGTTTAATTACGCAGAGAATGACAGATCAAGGATTAGAGCCGAATGTTATTCAAGGTACTCTCCTGTATATGAATGGTGTGTTTATGCTTCAGTTCATAATGTTAATGGAAAGTTCTACAAAAGAAAAATTAACAACTTACACACTAGTGGGACAGCTGTGTGCACGAACAAGAACAAACACTTGACTTCAAATATTGTCGCCAACCTTATTGTTGACGGTGTCTAGAAGCAACCTTCAACTCGAGTTGTAGACGTTGTCACGAATTTCGTTCTAGATATGGTCTTATAATAACCTATGACAATGCATGGATGAATGTGGAGAAAACAAAAAATTTGTTATTTAAAGGTCATTCTGAATCGTACAACCAATTATCATAGTACGTACAAGTTGTCACTGATAGGAATCCAGATAAACACATTATGATGGACTATGATGCTGAGAGCAAGTGTTTTAAGCAGTTGTTTGGATTTTGGTAAATTTTTCCATATGTAAAGACGTCATTGGTATAGTGGCTTAGACGCTACAATTACACACACACGTTCACCTGATTTAATGCTATGACAAATGGAGTGTGACATCATTGGCT